CGAGACAGCAGGATTTCGTTGGTAACAAAGAAAAGAGTACCTAACTGCTACGTGATATTTTCCCTCCTTTAGGGCAGGGAATGTTGGAAGGTCTCCTCAATGATGAAGAAGAGACACGAAGCAACGGAGGTATGGTTCTGCAGAATGATGCCAATAATACCATGGACCAAAAATGTGAGCAGCGACGAGGTTTTGGAGAGGATGCAAACAAGAAGGAAGCTTATATTTAATGTCAGGAAGAGGCAGCTGGAATTTTCGGGTAACGTAATAGGAAAGGAGGGATTGGAGAATCTGATACCCACAGGGCGGATAGAGCGAAAGAGAGATAAGAGAAAGCAACGCGTGACATACCTAGCAGGCTTAAGCAAGTGGGTGATGGAACAGGGTTTAGAAGAAGTAGCAAATGGACAAACCATATTGAGAGCTACAAGGGATAGGGGGAAGTGGAGAGCCATGATTGCCTACGTCTTGAGGGGACATAAAGAAGGTTTACGGCTATATAACGCCGAAACACAGGTTCCCATACGATCATCGAATTTAAGCAACGTCGAGTCTTGTCCATAGTGCGGGTGGTGAACAAAGGTGTGACAAAAATTGATAATGAATTTACAATTACGATCTATCTATCTATCTATCTATCTATCTATCTATCTATCTATCTATCTATTTAGGTAGATAGATAGATAATCTATCTATCTATAAATAAACGTAAATATAAGTCTGATCCGACGAAGAACAAAACTCGTTATATTATCTTTTCGATTTTATCTATTAATATCTATCTATCTATTGTTCTGTCTGTATGTCCTTTCTATTAATTTCTTTATATTCATCTATACATCCATCTATATATATATATATATATATATATATATATCTATTTATATATATATATATATATATATATAACGACTCGGAATCTATAATCGGAAAACTGTTTTTTCTTTTCCATTCGGGTTCGTTATATTCACTTCCACGCAAATATCTATCTATTGAAAACGTATGAATCCTCCTATCCACTAAAAACATTGTCTCTAGAAATGAAATAAAATCATTTTACAAAATATTTAGATTATCATTTATCTATCTATCCCATAGTCTTTTTATTTATTTTAGATTTCTAAACAAAACAACCGAATCGTTTCTATATATATATCTATATATCTCTCTATATATATCTGTGTTAAACTATCGATAAATAAACCTCTTTGAATGCACCTATTTAAAAAAAAGTAGAATCTTATCATGTTGCTACTTCCTTGTTGCGGTTGTAATTTACGGCGACCGCCATTCATTTCCATATATATATATGTTATATATATAGGAATAAATAAAATATATATATTAATTTTATACCCGTATATACCATTTATGGATGTAATGCAACAGATTTTATGATCGGTTTTGGTTCGTTTGCAAATTTCTTTGAAAACGTATGAATCTTTCTCCGTAAAAAACATTGTGTGTGTGTGTGTGTGTGTGTATTTGTGTGTGTGTGTGTGTGTGTGTGTGTGTGTGTGTGTGTTCTTTCTTGTCCCTAACTGTGTTTGCGACTCAGGATCTTTGAATGATATTTAAAAAAAAGATAAAATTTATAATGGATCTTATCTATTTATCTATCTATCTATCTGTTTCGTCCTTTCTAAAAAATTTCCTTCATTTTATCTATCTATTTATGGATCTATCTATTTATCTGTTTTCGTCCTTTCTATTTCATTTTCTTTCATATCTATCTATCTATCTATCTATCTATCTATGTTTGTGTTGTTTGTATTTGTTTGTATCAAATCTATCAGGATATCTATATTATCTGGATAAAATTCTAATGGATCTATCTATCTATCTATCTATCTATCTATCTATTTCGTCCTTTCTATATCATTTCTTTCATATCTATCTATCTATCTATCTATCTATGTTTCGTTCTTTCTATTTAATTTCCTTCATATCTATCTATCTATTTATCTATCTATGATAGATATCTCATTTCTTTTTATATCTATCTATCTATCTATCTATCTATCTATCTATCACACGATTTCTTTTCCATTTTTGTCATTAATTTCACTAACATTGTTCTGGTATATAAACTGTATATATCATTTTTTTCATATACATCCGTCGATCCATTATTAGATATTATGTATATTTCTTAATATATATATATATATATAATCGTTTCCCGCCAAGCAAGCCGATATGGGTTACAGGGAGTGAAAGAGTATGAGACGACTGAGAATGGGGAGATTTGACGGAAGGACAAAAAAAAAAAAAAAAAAAGAAAAGGAACAAGCTTCAAGAAGACAGAAGATGGCGATCGAGTTACATCTAAATTTTCAAAGATTGTACTCATCAGGGAAGCAAGAAATCGGAAGATAGTCCCACAGGTAAATGGTGTTAGACTCGAAGTGGCGGTTAGTAAAACGGTTAGACCTAGTTGCCAATCTAGTAGGATGCTTAAATGTCTATAGTCGAAGCATCAGGGAAAAAAAAAAAGCTCTTCAGAGCAGTTGCCGGGAAAATTTTTGTAGAAAAGAGAGAAAGTTGTGAAAGTGACTGAAGTCGAGATGCCAGGTTAGGATCGATACCATTAGAGACCCTTCTTTGGATTTTATGAAGAATCTCAAAATGTAGAGCAGAAGCACCAGGCCAGATATGGCAGAAGCATTCAATACACTGACAAATGGTAGATTTATAAATCTGCAAGATGGATTCCGACAAGAAGAGATTCTGGCACGACACAGTGACCCAACTTTCCTTACAGTAGATGCAGCAATTGATTCCACAGAGTCGCTTGACTTTATGTGAGTGGAAAACGTCAGATCGAGAAGGTGAAGAGTGTTGGTGTCCTGGTGTTTACTATTAGCCATGCTGATGCCAGGCGGAAAAGGTCTTTTGTAGATGAAAATAGTTTTATTTTGGAGGCGTTAAAATTTACAAGTCTTATCCTACTCCAGTTAACCACTGATTGGAGGTCATTTTCATGAGCAGTTGACAAATTTAGTTTGTCAGTTCTGTTGGATTTGCTATTAAGACAAGGGGAAGTGATTGCTTCAGATGAGAAACAGTATAGATCTATATATATATATAACGCCGAAACACAGTAAAGATCTATATATATATATATATATATATATATATATATATATATATATATATATATATATATATATATATATATATATATATATATATATATATATATATATATATATATAAATATAAATATATATTTATATATATATATATATATATATATATATATATATATATATATATATAAAAGAATGAAACGAATATAATTTCATTCGAACGTTCATAGTATTAATTTAAAAGACAGCTCAGTACAAAAGTGGAGCAATAATTATCTATCATAAGTTATTACATTTGAACATTTATATATATATATATATATATATATATATATATATATATATATATATATATATATATGGGCAGCAATCTCTTTTATGCAAGTTTCGTTAAAAACGACTGGCGAATAGACTGACAAGATGCTGTAGTTAAATTTTTTTATATAGTTTTTTTATGTGTTCGCATAATTTTTTTGCCTTTTCAGGGCATAAAATATATAAACATTGTCCGAATGTTTTATATATCCAAGTGCTTTCGGCTATACTTTTTGCCATTATTAAGGATGGATTTTATTTTACTTTTAACTGAATATAATGATTATTTTATGCATCTATCTAGAGTTATAGGACTCTTTTATTTTCCAGACACGGTCAGCACATTGTGGCCGTGTTCATAGTTGATATTATTGAGCGCTGTCTTTTTTTAAAATTTCCTTGTTTCCATTAATTTTAGCTCTTTTGTACATGTGGATGATGTTATATTTGTATTATCAATGTGTATGTTGCGGATAGAGATTGGTAGATCTCTAGGTGTATTTAAATGAGACCTAATTGAGCTATGGTCAGAAAGATGTAACATGAATCTTCTTGTTAAGTATAAAACAAACCATATATTCAGTAACCGCAGGACAGAACACTTTTCTAATTTTCTAAACATGGAGTCGAGTGTTGATGATAATCTCATCAAGAACTTACCACAGAGATCTATTCTTAAAAGGCTGTCAGCAACTCCATCAATTGCTGAGATAAAAATGGTACAACACTATTAATAAAATTGAATTTTTCTCTGATTGCAAGGAATGCCTCGGTGAAAAATAATGAATACCAGTTCATTAATATCTGTTAATGAGAATTACCAACCCAGCACTGTAGTCTGAAGTTTCAACTGCATCACTATAGATTCTTGATAAAATTCAAGATCGCTTACGACCATATTACGTTGAAACACCGATTCTCATACGATCACCTAAGTTAAGCAACATCGAACCTGGACAGTACCTAGATGGGGGACACCCCTGGGAATGCTAGGTGCGGGTGGTGTAATGGATAATGAAATTGAAAATAGGATAGCCGAGTTCAAATTTCAGTCGCGTTCGTCAAATTCATTTACGTGCAAATACCGTAGGGAAAGGTATGAATCCACACTTCTCCACCAGCTATGGGTTAATTAGTAGAACTTGTATCGGTAAATTATTATTATTATTTTCAAACCATTTTTACAATCTAAAAATATCTCATGGCTTTAAATAACTTGCAAAAAGTTGATAATCAATAAAATTACCACAAAAATATACACAAAAGACAAATAAATAATTTGTGTCGTTATTGGGCCTGACCTGGCACCTCGGCTTCAATAACTTTCCTACCATAGTAACGTAGATTCTCTGTGTCTTTTCTACAGATGTTTTCAATGAAATTTTTATAACGAGTTTTTCTCTTTCGTACTTTGACTTCATGAATTTAAGCGTCCTAATGAATTGGCAACTAAGTTTCGTCCGTCCAAGGCATGACGATAAACTACATCCGCGTCCTGGGTAAGACCGCATCCTGGGTAAGACGATAAACTACGTCCGACAACAAGGCCTCTGATCAGGAGGTTTTGAAGGGCGTGGAACCACTTCTTAATTTCTGGTGTTCCCAGGTCCACCCTGACTCGGGGCGGTAGCACTTGTTAGGGTCCCAGCTATTGGCAATAATTAACCCCTAAACTGAGGTCAAAACACTATAAAAGTGTAAAAATAGGTTTTAATACCAGAAATACTTTTTTGTAAAAAAATATTACTAGCAATACATTTTTGAAAACAAAAATATTACCAGTAATAAATTTAAAAAAAATTACCAGCTATACATTTTTTGAAAAAAAATATTAGCAGCAATAGATATTTGAAGAAAAAATATTAGCAGCAATAGATATGTGAAGAAAAAATATTAGCAGCAATAGATATTTGAAGGAAAAAATATTATCAACAATAAAAAATTTTGTCGGCATTAAATAACCCATTGAGGTCGATATGCCATAAAACAAACCAAACCAAATCAAACCAAAGTAGGTCTCGTAATTTTTTTTTATAGTTAACAATAAAGTGACGGGACCTTTCTGCCAATCTAGTATTACGATTCTTTATATTACTAGATTTAACTGTAAGTTCTATTCTACTAGTTTCATCTGTGGCACTTTTTACCTATGGAACTCACTGTAGGCTTCTTACTTTCTTGTGAAGTACGGTCTGCAATAAATGAAATATGAAATAAATGGTCATCTTTTGTCTCCTTGAATCCAGTTCTTTCATTTCCCTTTCTCCTCAACAACCTCACAGTAACCTCTTGCGTCTCAGTGACTCTATCGCCTTTCTTGGGATGAAGAGTTTAAAAAATTTAGTAAAATTGGTTATCGATGTTTGAAATCAAATGCATTAAATATAAACAACGGATCTTATTCTCTTTCATCAACTTTTGTTAACGGGAATCACCGATTCGGCAATATCGAACATATGGGCTATTCAAATGCGTTTTGAAGATTAAAGGCGATTACGGATTACTTAGTCTTCTGCATTATTCTGTTAGCTAGAATCACCGACCAGGTAGTACAAGCTGCATCATCCGTGATTGCCCCAAGAGGTTGTACTTTATTTTTTGTACTTATTTTCTTGGCAAATGTATCGAAATAAAAAAAAAATATGCAAGTTTCTTACGTCTTTTGACTTATGAGTTGAAATTGGCATCATCTCAATAATTGAGAAAAGAGACTTTATCCCGGTGAGTTTACGAAGGATGGCCTCGTTTTGTTTAACCCTGGCAAAAAGATTGCGTTAACTGATGTACAAACCTGGCTACGTGAGATTCTATTGGTGGAAAGTCTATGACGTATCATCAAAAAGAAATTTACAGACTGCACATATTCTTTTCATATAGATATTCATTCAAAATGGTCATACGTACGTATTACACACACACGTACAATACACACATAATACAGACACACACATATATATATATATATATATACTAAACAAAAATATTAAATATATATAAATATATATATATATATATATATTTATATATATATAATAGCCTCGAAAAATAGAAAATAAAAGAAAAAATATAAAAAAACTTTTTATCGAAAAATGAAAAAAAAAAAATTTAATTTATGGAAAATTTGAATAGTGGTAAATTAGGCTAAATACTAGTTGTTTAAGATCATATTTAAACGAAGCTTTAATTGGTAAACCCTTAACGAAATTTAGTCATTTGTATCCAAGCATTGGCGTAGTCAACATCTCCCACTAGTTATCTCCTGGGCTACATTAGGTAAAAACATGGCTAAAGCTAAAAGGTTGACAGATTTGGAACGTGCTAGAATTCTCGCGCTGCAAAATCCAGGTCTCCCTCAACGTGCCGTCGCTGGTGAGATTAGAGGTAGTAAAACTGCTTTCTTAAAAGATTCTGAGGGAGAACCTCATCTTTGTTGCCATATTTAACACAACGTTTCGGCCGATGTACGCTCCGGCATTCATCAGGTTGTTGGAATGTCGAACTGAACCCTATATTTCACTCACTGGGGTAGAATGTTCTAGTTCCAAATGCCATATCTAATAGATGTCAGTTATCAGTTATTTCCTGTTAATTTCCCTCTCAAACTTCTCCACCGCCTTAACCAGGTATTGAACTCACACTCTGGGTCCAGTCAATTAATCTAAGAGCCTTTATCCAGTGTGCCATGTGTCCTTGAGGACTTCTGTGTATGAATTTCGGGGTATTATAAACCTAATGTCTTCATCAGATTTTACCAGTGATCATATTGCAATCTTTTGCTGTTATCAAACATGTTTTTACTAGAGCTCATATTGCAATTTTCGTTGTTATTATCGCTTTTCTCTGGCACTCCTTATTACTGGTTCCCATATTGTATTCATTTCTATGGTCAACTCAGGAGATTTTTTTATGTGCTGATTCCTTAAGTTTACAAATTTTCCAATGATGTTCTTTGTCTATGATTTCAACCTGATCCCACACCTAAGACGTATAGGTAGTTATCGCAGCGTTGCACCAAGCTACCTCACATATACGGTCTCCCTAAGATTCACAAAGACGGTATTCCGCTCAGGACGATTGTTAGTTGCCAAGGCTCTGTGTGCCACCCTCTGAGTCGCTTCCTTGCAGATATAATTGACCCATTGGTCGGAAAGTCTCCTTCATATGTCCGAAACTCCGCCCACTTCGTGGAAATAATCAATAATTCGTGTAAATAGTGTACATAATACCTCATCTCAGAAATATAGACAGATACGGAACGAGAAATTCAAGAAAATTTTGTTGGCGTTGAGCAGCCGGATTCGATAGGTTCTTCGGCAAGACACCAGTCGATCATTGAACCAGATCAAGGCCCTTTCGGGCATAGAATGCAACTCAAGAACAATAAAACGACATCTAGAGAAAGGCCTTAAAACCGTAGACGTCTTCAAAGTCCACGCCTGTTTCCACAAAACGGCTAGGTTAAACTTTGCTGAGAAGCGACAAACATGGTATGTAGAAAAATCGGAGAAGGTTTTGTTCTCTGATGAGAAAAAAGTTAACCTGGATGATCCAGATGTCATTTTCTACACGAAACAGTGGAGTAGATTCCTTCATGATCTCGTTCCAAGGACGGATGGAGCTTCAGGTTATACGTCAAAACGCGGCTGGTTACATTGGCATGTTGGAGGAGAGAATCCTTATGAGGGTTACCACTTTTGTGGAAATGACTGGATCTTTCAGCAGGGCAGCGTTGCAATCCATAATACCGACAGAACGAAAGAATTTTTCATGGCGAATAACGTGATTCTTTTGAACCATCTATCGTGTTCGCCAGCCCTGAACCTCGTTGAAACTCTTTGGGGTGGATGGCAAGGGAAATCTATAAAATGGAAAATTAATTCCAAACAATGCATGATCTTTGTTTAATCATTTTCATCAATTGGAATAAGATTCTAGCCAGCCAACTACAAACGCTTATATCAACCATGCAAAAGCGAATTTTTGACGTTATACACTAAGACGCCATGTTGGACATTCTGTTTAGAAGTTCTTTTAGTTACGGCATTTTGATCAACTAGTATTTAGCTTAATTTACAGTATTCAATTTTCTCTGCTAAATGATAAAAAGTTTTTAATTTTTCTTTTCTTATTTTCATTTTTTGAAGCTCTACTCAAATAACTGGTTGAAACTAACAACGTAAACGTATGTTTTTCTTTATTTTCATTGGCCTTAAGATGTTGGCCAACAATGTATATAGCAATAAAAATGGTTGTATTCCTTAAAAGATGTCTACGAGACGATGGCACCGTGACTGGTATCAAAGGTTGACTGGCGATCTAATTTTTATTTCTAAGGAAGGAAAAATGTTATTCATGTAAAAAAAATGGGATACTATGATTTTTCATGTTTGTGCCACTTAGTATAGTTTTAGAGGTGAAAATTGTGAGCTTGGGTGGGATTGATCGTTAGGTTAAGTCTTAGGTTTGTTGAGTTCAAGTATTGTTTTCATTTGATAAAGGAACTATTATTAGTTGAAATGAGTGACACAATGTAAATCTTTATAGGTCAGGTTTGTTTTGATCAGGGGTATAACACCCTGCCAGATGAAGTGACAATGAGACCTGTGATAATCAGGTCAAATGACGGTGAGATTCCGAAACATGGAAAATGTTCCACTAAACGTGGTTAATTTTGATTGGTCAGCCAATGAGAGGAGAACTGGGATGGAGCTTCTCGTCTCCCACTCCGATACTTACGACACAAGGCCATTATTTTGATTGGATTCTCAATCATATTGGGTTCTTGTGGGTTTTCTTTCCTCCCATTCAAGGCCATTGGTCAAGGATTATTGGCTAACCAATCAGTGCAGTGCAATTGGAGTTTTCACCCCCTCCTACACACATAAAAAAAAGTAGCCGAAAAAGCAGAAGTGAGATCGACCTGGTCTCGCCGCTAGTAGACCAACACTCTACCTGCCGGATGACCCGTGGTGCCTCAATCAGCTAAAGACCTGTTCTCTACGCTGCTTTTTTTTTTTTTAAAATTCCCATGATCGGCTGCTTTCATTTAAATAGTTGAACGACTCTGGGCTGTTTAGTAATAACGGCTTCTACCAGTCTAGCACTTTCTCTCAGCTCAAGAATTCTTTATAGAGGGAAAATTCTTCAAATCCTTATTGTTTATGTATTCATGATCTTAACAAATCATAATACCATAAATAAAAGCTGTTATTTTTACACATGTTAATAAGTGTTGTTGAAGTTAATTAAGTCTACAGGTGACTTTAGTCTTTCACAAGCATAGCCAAGACAAAGGGGAGTCAAACCCGATTTTTGGCACTTCCTCACCGATATTTCTGTCGATATTGAAACAACGCGTGGATGCAGGATTAGTGCAGAGTCGGCTCACCTGAGACGTACCAAAGTAAGAGTGGCATTCAGCGAAGCACGCTGCAACAAGTTCGCAGGCTATTTGCAGAAGTTGATGCTTTTAAAGCAAACCGTCTTTGTAATTATGATGATCGATATGAAAAGAAAAAAGTTTTAATAATAATAATAATAATATGACAATAAATAAATAAAATTAAATGTTCACTTATTTTTTTTCTCTAATCTGAGTTTCGCTGAATTACATCCAATCTTCAGGAAAGTTATGTTTGAAGAGTGGATGAGATTCCACGTAACTCAGAATAGAAACAAGATAAGTGAATGGTTATTATTATTATTATTATTATTATTATTATTATTAGAAAGACCCGTGAAAATTTCCCAATGTTCATATTTGAATTTTCCTAATTCTTAAGTTAATGATTGAATAAGTCCATGGCGAGTTCTGTGACAATAAAATATCCGTAGAATTCCTCCTATCACATCGTTAAATGCTTGAGCTTAAAAAAAACAAAATATTGCAATAACAATCATAAATATTGGTTGTTATTTTAAGAAGTAAGGGGGTACAAATGAAAAGATTTGAAATTGACAATTTATTCCATTTCATTAAAAATAACCGTTAAACACTCTTTCTTTCTTTTTCTTTTTGATTTCTTTCTTTTTCTTTTTTCTTTCTTTCTTTTTTTTTTCTTTCTTTCTTTCTTTCATTCGTTTTCTCACTGAAACCAAGTAGCGTCTCTAATATGTGTTTTTGTTTTTTCTACGCAATCAAAACGGAATAGTCCATTATTGATGAGGCATTGGCAGTAGAGGTTAAACATTTCTATCTTCCCTTCGTTCTTTCTGTTTTTCTTTCATTTTCTCACTGAAACGAAGTAGTGTCTTTTCCCCTCTTTTCCACGTGATCAAAATATAACAGTCCATTATTTATGAGATATTAGCACGGCGTAACGGTCGTGCAAACTAACGCGGGGAGGAACATGCACAATTATAACACGATTATTATTGTAGTTGTTTTTGTTTTTATTATTACCATAGATTATCTGTACAGTTTCCACCGTTTCCTTGGAGCAAATAAAGCCTGACAGCTTTGACAAAGAGCATCCTTCTTCGAACATTGTGGACTGGTGCTACACATTCCCAAACAAAGAACAGTACAAAATAACAGAAACCGCATCACTTGAGGACTACCAACAGCAGCAACGATTAGAATGGATAGCACAAATAGTTCGAAGAGAAAATAATGACATAATCAAGATGTTGACATTTCACACTACTTCAAATAAAAGGTTAGGAAGGAAGCACCCGTCAATATTGGAAAGAGCGATAACAGCTACTGGACTTAAGAAACCTGTTTTCCTGAAAAATTGTTTCACGAGAAAGATTTTATAAATTTTAACCGAAGGTGATATTGGCTGCCGGGTTAATGAATAGCAAATATTTCCTTATAGAGAAACTGCTTCAACTACCATTACCATTGTCACAACTAGAGTTAAGATTTATCAATATACTAGCAGTAGAGCCCGGCATTGCCCGGGGATGTAACAGTAAGAGATAGATCAAGTATCGACCATCATAACGACTGAAAAATAAAATTGACAAAGATTATTGTTTAAGGTTGACGGACACGCATGTCTTAATTAGTTTTTTTTTTTTTTTTTTTTACGAATTGGTCAAACCCAAACTCAAACAAAAACATTGTTTTCAATCGTTATGAGTCTACCGATTGAATAGAATTTTATTATAAACAATTGTCTTGTAAATGGAATTTTTAAAGCATTCTGAATGTAAAAATAAAGAAAAAAGTGTGCAAGACAATAAGAAACATTACCTACCAAAAAAAGTGAAGTTTTGTTGAAATCGGTTGAAAAATGTAGGAAATCCGATCCCATATATAAACGAACACACACACAGACACACACAGACACACACACACATACACACACAAACAAATAAACAACCAGGGTTTTATAATAAGTATAACTCGATATGAATTGTCCCCCTTTCATTCTCGCGATGCCTCTTAATCATGTTTTCAAATTGATTTTGTGCAAAAACTATTGTGTTTTTCCAATTCTTGCCGCGATGAGAACCACCGCAAGGTAATTTTATGTAGTCCTGTGAAGTTTTGTTGAAATCGGTTGAAAATGTAGGAAATCCGATCCAATATATAAACGTACACACACACACACACACACACATACACAACCTGGGTTTTATAAGTATGATCATTAAATAATTTAATTTATGCGTCTTTTTTTTTTAGTTAACATTTGCTTATCTTTTCAGGTGGATGTTAAAAGTGCTTATTATTGTTCTTTGACTTTTAATAAAACGACAACACAACAGGAGAAAGCACAATGTGTGTCCTGGTTCATTGGGACCAAATCGGAGACACACGTTCAACGGAATTACAAGACAAAGTACGAAAATTAAACGCCAAATTGTGTTAGCATCCATTCTTAACACAATGGAATTGTCTTGAAGAACACAGAATTTGAACCTAATCTAGACCTTTTGCGTGCAACTAATAGAATCCATATGAAAATCTTTTCTGATGTGTTTAAATAAAATTTCATTTGTTTACCGATGTTTTCCAATAAGCCTAGTTATCTTCCATTTTTTCATTTCTTACGAAGATTTTAAAATTGTACTAATCCCTGGGGAACAAACTTTTTTGTCTATTGAATTAGATTTGACGGTTAATTCTATGGAAATTGTGTGGACTGAGTACGAATCCTCACTCGCTTTTGCTTATCAGCTCCTGGTCAATACTGATTGGCTGGAAAAAGTAACCAATCAAGAAACCCTAGCGATTCAAGCAGACGGCAGACACATTAACAGATTTTGCTCTACACCCATTGTCTTTCGTCGTATTCATAAAAGGGTTTTTTTTTCGCAATACTCGATAAGTCTTTTTGCAACTACACATTATTCAACTAGGATTTTATCTAGGTATTTGTACCTATTGTTATCGTATTGTTGTATTATATATACTTTATATGTAACACTCTAAAATATTTTTAATTTTCTCATTTTTACTCTATCTGAATATTAGTAAATTAAACTAAAAATATCATAGAATTATTGAATTTTCACGAGCGTTCCTGTTTTCTGTAGAATATCTTAGTGTGACAACTAAAATATATAAAAGCGACTCGTTAATCAGCCAACTCAATAAATCTTTCAGTTAGTTAATTAAGTTCGAGTATTAATATAATTTTGAATTGGCACATGATTTAGTGAGCAATTTAATAGTTGATTTAATTATACGTAATTTATATTGCACCTCCTCATCCGTGTTTCTAGATTAATTTCATAGCACCTATTTCCTAAGTTCCTATTTAAATGAATTTTTGTTTTATATTTAAGATTTTCTTAAATTTATATGACGAGAGGTAAATCAACTTTACTAAATTTATGAGTGATTACTTCCTTTAGTCGATTTAATAATCTATACAAATAAAATATTTATCTACATTTAGACGAAATTATTTCTAGGGCAAAATGAAGCGTTTAATTAATCAGTTCTTTTACGCCTACGTTTCTTAAATTGCAATCTTATTTGTTCCAGCCTTTCATGTGAGGCACACATATAACTCTATTAAGTTGTCATCTTGCTTGAACCTGGTCTTGAAATTGGCTTTATTGTCGCCGTCTTTGTCGTTCTGTTGCTAATCTGTTGTCTCCCGAGAGATATTTCCACTTTACTGTAATATTAAACTAATGATATGTTTAACATGAAAAGATATTTGCACAAAAAGCAATTCATATAATACCAAGAGTAATCAACGAATCATAGGAACTATTGAACGTCTAGCAAATATAAATTAATACTTAAACGGTCCACTGGCCTTTTTAGTTATGATTACTTTATCTCGGCTTTATTGAATCTCAATTCATTGTCTCGAGGCTTTTGTTTCATTGCATCATACTATTAAAAATATGTAACTATTGCCGTAATTTTTGACGACCCGTCTTAGAATAAAATTCACAATACTGCTGACAAAAACTTCCTGTTGATAAATGTTTTTCATAACACGGGCATGTACATTTGCACAAATAAAAATAGCCTCAGATATGAACAAACTAATAAATAAATATATATATATATATATATATATATATATATATATATATATATATATATAGAGAGAGAGAGAGAGAGAGATAGATAGATAGATAGATAGATAGATATAAAACGACTTTGAAAAGAGATGGATAAAACGACTTGATAAATAGAAGATAGATATAGATAGAAATATGAAATGGATTTTGATAAATATATAAAACAGAAATAAAATGAAACGATTTTTGATAAAGATAGATAGAAATAAAGAAAGAATCAGATAGATAGATATGAAATGACCTTGATAGATAGATATGAAATGACCTTGATAGATAGAAATAAAGAAAGAATCAGGATTGATAGATAGATATGAAATGGTATTGATAGAAAGATATAAAAACAAATTTGATAAATAGATATATATGAAACGACTATGATAAATATGAACCGATTTATTATTTTGATAGATAGATAGATCGATAGATAGATAGATACGAGTGATATTGTGAAATTTTTGGCTCAATAAATTCCCTAAATTGATCAAACATAAGAATGTTTTAAAAACCCATCGTGGACACGCCGCCATCTTTTCAGCCCTCAGTTAGAGATAAATCTCTTGGTGTTGTTTTTAACAGTGAGAATTTTTTTTCTGTCTAAATTATATTCTCAGAGATTTCTGAAGTGCTTGATCTCCGCGTACAATATGCTAACATTTGAGCTTTGCCTGCGTAGGACCGTTGATCTATAACATACCGATGTCATCGTTGAGCACAAGTGTTGATCTTTAGGAATGATGATATTTTATGAACGCATTTTCGATGCCAGATGAACTTGTCATGATCTTTAAAATCGGTAATTTTAGCTGGGCTCCGTTAATGTGTCTGCCGTCTGCTTGAATCGCTGGCGTTTCTGATTGGTTACTTTTTCCAGCCAATCCGTATCGACCAGGTATTTTCGAACTATCGCCTGGTCACAGAGTTCAGTGTCGTTGTCCTATTTCTGTTAAAAGTAAGGAAGAAAAAGAAAAAAAATGATTCTAGCATTTCCTCTGTTTCTTTTCAATCATCGACATTATTTTTACGTTACATTCCTGACAGTAATCGCAAAAATTTGCTGCTTGCGGCACAATGCCATAGAAAATACAAAAGATTCAAAGTATCTTGTTTATAGCTACAGGCAGCATCCAATATCTTCTTTAATACGAATTCTTCTTCTTCTTCTTCTTCTTCTTCTTCTTCTTCTTCTTCTTCTTCTTCTTCTTCTTCTTTAATCCAATTCCTTTTTTTCTTCTTTAACCAGATTCCATCCGATTTCTCCTCCTCCCTTTTCTTCGTTTTCTTTATTCCTATACAGTCTTCTTCTTCTTCTTCTTCTTCTTGTACACCTTCCCCTTTGCCCCGCCCATCTTGAATAAATGTCATACTATTGTTATTAGTTTTCAAAGTAGAATGCATTCGTCATAGATCAACATTTGGAACTGGGTAGCAGTCGCCCCACACCAACATCCACTAAGCAGAAGCCAATGATCACAGCGCGTGAATTCTTTGCATTCTGCACAAGCGAAATTTAAAAATGACACATCCATAAAGTAACAAAAAATATAATGTATGTATGCATTTATGTATCTATCATTTTTCTTTCTTTCTTTCTTTCTTTCTATCGATCTCAGTTTGTTCATATCTATCTATCTATCTATCTATCTATCTATCTATCTATCTATCTATCTATCAGTCTGTTCATTCTATCTATCTATCTATCTATCTATCTATCTATCTATCTATCTATCTATCTCATTCTGTTCATATCTATCTATCTATCTATCTATCTATCTATCTATCCTAGTTTGTTCATATGTATGTATGTACATCTGTAACGTTCGCTTTCTGGCTATGAGAACCGGGTTCGAATCTCACCACGGTTGATTTATCAGGAAGTAGACTTCCTGATGTTATCTGTCTGGAGGGGGCGATCCCAGAGTGTGGCACCTTTGGAAAGTACCCGAAAACCATACCACATGTTGACCCAAGCCTTGTGAGTGAAATTGGGTAGACGGAACTCTTGAGGGCCGTCGATAGCTGTGCTAGCACGAAGTCACAAGTCATCGTGACCGAGGATTTGAGTGTGTTGGTATTGTTCATATTGTTGATCATTGTAGATAACACGCTCTTTCCCAGAATCTGTAACTAAGGTATGCTCAGCATAGTTGCAGTAGAAACCACAGATTGGCTTTGTGGGTGTTGAACAAACAAAAATGTGCCTGAGCGAGCGTCTGCAGTAGGGATTGGCTAGCCGTTCTAATAGGCGGGTATCCTCGAACACGAGGATATCTATCTATCTATCTATCTATCTATCTATCTAGAACTAAAAAATTTCTCGCCAAGAAAAGGTTATAAAATTAATTCTGATGTCTGGTCGTATCTCTCATCAGAGACAGTCATACAATCTAATGAAGTTTATTTACTTTCTCCTCATAATCAAAACTTTTTTAGCAATCAAGACCACGAATCCCAAAGCCATGTCGGGTGGTAGGAACACCACATCTCCAGGCACAGCAGTATTGCTATTTAAAGAGCAAGACGATCTGACGGAACCCCAAACTCACCAGGCTGGATTGTATTACGAGTTTTTCTTTCTCATAGATTTGATGCCTAACAAGACTATATAGCTCAATATGTCCTGCTATTTACCCAATAGTTGAGATAGAGAAGAGATGGGTGAATTCGAACTCTGCTCGCCGATTCTTCAATCCGAGAAGCTATCCATTACCTCACTGTGTCTCATTTCCAGCAATGACTCTTCAAGTTTATTCTCAGCGCTTTGATAACCTCTGCGCCGACTATCATATATTATATTATATCTATATATATATATAATAGAATTATATTATATATATATATATAATAGAATTATATTATATATATATATATATAATAGAATTATATTATATGTATATATATATATATAATAGAAGAAGAAGAAGAAGAAGAAGAAGAAGAAGAAGAAGAAGAAGAAACAATATAATCAATTACACGACAAAAGCAGTGCGAATATCATGGAAAAATAAACTTAAAAACAACAGATGAATGAAAATGCTACAAAACAAATAAACTAAAAAAAGCTAATGACAAAAGAAAAATGAAAGAGAAAAGAAGTACAAGGAAGAAAAATGCAAAAGAAGTACAATGAAAAAATGAAAATGAAGTACAAGGAAGACAAATGAAAAAGAAAAGACGTACAATGAAGAAAACATGAAAAAAGAAGTACAAGGTAGAAAATGAAAAAGTCAAGAAGTACAATGAATAAGAATGAAAAAGAAACGAAGTACAAGGAAGAAAAACGACAAAGAAAGAAGTACATGAAATAAATATGAAAAAGAAAAGATGTACAAAGCAGAACATGAATAAGAAAATATGTAAAAGGAAGAGAATTAAAAAGAAAGGAAGTACAGGAAAGAAAAATGAAAAAAAAAAGAGAAGTACAATGTCGAAAAATGAGAAGGAAAAAAAGACATACAATGAAGAAAAATGAAAAAGAAAGAAGTACAAGGAAGAAAAATGAAAACGGAAAAGTTACATCGAAAAAGAAAGAAGTACAAGGAAGAAAAACGGTAAAGAAAAGAAGTACAAGAAAGAAAGGTAAAAATAAAATAAGTACAAGAAATAAGAATGAAAGAGAAAAGAAGTACAATGACGAAAAAATGTAAATGTACAAGTAGGAAAAATGAAAAAGAAAAAGTACAAAGAAGAAAAATAAAAAAATGAATAAGTACAACGAAGAAAAATGAAAAGGAAATCAAGTACAAGTAAGAGAAAATGAAAAAGAAAGAAGTACATGGAAGAAAAAACAAAAACAAAATGTGTACATGTAAAAAGATAAAATAAAAGTACAAGAAAGAGAATTAAAAAGAAAAGATGTACGAGGTGAAAAATGAAAAAGAAAAGAAATACAAAAAAAGAAAATGAAAAAAAAAGAAGTACAATGAAGAAAAATGAAAATTAAAAAAATACAAGGAAGAAAAATGAAAATAAGTACAAGGAAGAAAAAATGAAAAAGAAATAAGTACAAGAAAGACAAAAGGAAAAGTAGTGAAGTACAAGAAAGGAAGTTAAGAATACAAGAAAGAATAATGAAAAAGAAAAATAATATAGGTAAGAAGAATGAAAAAGAAAAGAAGTACAAGGCAGAAAAATGAAAAGTAAAATAAGTTCGAGGAAGAAAAGTGAAAAAGAAAAAAAAGTACAAGGAAGAAAACTGCAAAAGAAAAGAAGTACAAGAAAAATGTAAAAGAAATGATTCACACTTAAGAAAAATGAAAAAAAGAAGTACAATGAAAAAAAGAAAAAGAAATGTATCCCAATGAAGAAAAATGAAAAGGAAATGAAATGCAGGGAAGAAAATGAATAAGAAAAGATGATGTACATGGAAAAAAATTAAACAAAAATCAAATAAAAGGAATAAAAAATGGAAAAAGAAATGAAGTATTTGGAATGGAAAATGAAAAAGAAAAGTGGCACATGGAGTAAAGATGAAAAAGAAATGAAAAGATGTACAAGGAAAAAAAAAAAGAAAATATACAATGAACGCCTGAAGAAAAGATATAAAGTATAATTACAGTAGAGAAAGAAAAGAAGAAAAGACAAAGAGAGAGTGGAAAAAAATTAAAACGAAGACAGAACGAAAAATTAAATTAAAAAGAAAGTAATTTATAAGAAGAATAAAAACTCTACGCAGATTTTATTAGATATATACTTAGATATATACTTAGATATATACTTAGTTTCAAAAAAGGAAAAATATCTGAAAGAAAGGAAACACGAAGAAAAGAACGAAAAAGGAAGCAATATTGAAGACAAAGAACGAAAACAGTGGAAAATAAAACAAAAGGAAGAAAATTAAAAGAAAGAAAGTAAAAATTAGAAAGAACGAAAAGAAGAAAGAAAGAAAAGATTAGCATTTTTGTAAGAGATATTAGACGTGCATAAATTTCCAACGTTCCATTAAATGAAAAGACAATGGGATTCTGCGGTCTTTTACACGCATCTAATAAATAATTTTTAAATTAATGCACAAATAATGAGCGTAGTTTATAGGGAGAATGAAAAATATTTTCATCTTGTCGTTTAATGCATATGTGGGTTTTCGATGTCATTACAGTACAAGATGACGTTTCAAAATGGCGGAAAATGACTCAAATCCTCTGTCGTCAATTTGCTGTCTTTGTACCCGGCTCAGTGACGTCACGGACAGCAGAGCACATAAATCAGCCAATCAAAGTGCAAATGGAAACCCCAGATCTGGACCTGTTGACCATCAAACTTGTCCCACTCCTGTTTTATGACGTCAAGAGATTCGACTTGTCTGCTGTTTAGCGTCTTAGTTTCTACGATGTATTTGTTTTACCTGAGCTTGGCACAATGTTTTCTTCAGGGTGTTGTTATCTGGCTGCTGGCATTATGCCCGCATCGCGTTCCCGGGAGTAAGGCGCCACTTAATACAGCCTAGCTTTCTTTCTTTCTTTCTTCTTTCTCGTCATCGCTACGAACTCGTTTTTTTTTTCTTTTCTTTTTTCTTTTTTTTTTTTGGCAG